TCCTAGTAACCCTTCAGACCTTGATTAGCGTGTTCAGGTGTGTTTGATAAGGGTTGAAGCAAAACTCTGCAGGGCTGCGGCTCTCCAGGACCGACGTTCGCCACCCCTGATATATACTGTCATTTCATGACTTTTTACATTTAATTAGCTTAAATTAAAAGCCGTACAACTTTGCAATTTGACATTTTTGCATATTGCTCTTGCTTTATAATGAGAATGAGGTTTTTTGGGGTTTTTTGCAATACATTAATGAGAATGGTGGGTGAATGGGTTTAATTATTGAGAAATTAAAATCACAGTGCAATAAGGAAGTCTAAATGACTTCATTTTCAGAGTCTCATTTCTTGATGGTTTTATGAGTTTCACCCAAAGACATAATGTAGTCGATATGCAAACTTGTATGTCATACAATGAATCATCGTGAACCATTAGCGTCCTTGAGAAGCAATAACACTTGTTGATATGTTGATGTGTGGATTGCATAGAGAATTTCCTCCCACACTGAACAAGAGAAGTTTGGCAGATGCCCTGAAGCAACTACCATTATGGAATTCAGCAGTCATATCTAGATGCATCCTCAAAGGTTTTATTTGATGTGCCAAAAGCATCCTTTGGAGCAGGTCCATTTCTGCTCCTTCTGTTTCTAGATCACTCGTCCCGATCCTGTTTATTTGCGCTTGCTAAAACTTTGTCTAAGTCAAATGTGCCATTATAGCCAGTGAGTTTGTTGGCAAGAAAAAACAGAAGTCCATTCTGCTGATTACATCTGATCATTCCTAGACATCATCACATTCACGGACTGCTTTATCTGAGCCAGACTTCTATTGTATTTGTATCTGTTTATTTGTTTTGTTGTATTTACAACATGTGCTCTGGCAGTTGCACAGATAAAACAGCAGGAGTATCTCGGAGAGCTGTAAAATCAGTGTGAGCGCAGTGGAGATAATGTGTCCCATAAAAAGCAAAGTGTCTCTTGTCCTCTTGGCGGTATGCGGTCACCCCAGAGCAAAGACGTGGACACAAGCTTCTCTTTCACTGCCACACATCTCTATCTCCCTCAGTGTAAACAAAGGCATCAGTCTTAAGTGCAGTGAGTCCAGTGATTGTATCACTGTGTTAAACACTCACAAGACGCTCCAGAGAAAAGACGAGGGGAGGATACGGCAAACGTTGCATCACATTTTCATTAGGGTCTGATTTAGACAATGAGTGTGTTAATGTGGCCTGATACTATCTGTAATTATCAAAATAACTTGCATGAGTATCTGCATGTACCCGAAGCTAAATAACTTATTTGGAAGGGCACGGATAATGGCTTCAACATGAAAAACTACTGGATAATAGGAAAAATATTTGGCAGATACAGTCGCTCCTCATGTTTGGTGAGCCAAAGGAAATCACGATATTATACATTATATTCTAAAATTATATATAAACTTTTAAAATAATGCTGTGTGTGTGTGTGTGTGTGTGTGTGTGAAGTTAATGAGAGTAAACTGAAACGTAGCTGCCACTGTGCATCTCTTAGAAAGCAGAGGTTGACCAGATTAAGATACTGAATCATGCATGTTTTCTATTATTTGATATGTTTATTTAAATGTTTTAATCCTTGTACAACTTTCTCTGTATCACTCTCTCCTGGAGCTGGTCTGTAATTTATGCATTCTTCATGTGTTCAGATTTGCATTAATATTATGCATAGTAAAAGTTTCAACCACTGAATATTTTCTTTCAACTTCGTTGTTCTCTAGCTATTTTATTTAAAGTCGTCTTATTTGAGGTTGTGGATGATTGTTCTGACATAAAGCGGTACTCAAAGTTCCTCTGGAAAATGAAAAAAATTTAAATAAAAATGTTTCCCTTTTATTTAATATTTAATTGTGTTGTTTTATTAAAATATATTTAAAGAAAGTTTAATAATAATAATATTTGTTAAATGAAAATGAAACGGATATAAACCAGGAGAACAGAATTACATTCATACGTACATAACCAACCAATTCAAAAAATATTTTAAACCTGCATGACAAATGTTTCAGCTATCAGCCTTCTTCAATTCACTGATTCTCAGTAATTATATACAAAGCAATGAGTGTTATCAGCTGTTCATAATAAAACTATAATTCCACAAACTTCAGTTCAAAAATAATAATAACTCCCCTTTTTTGGTCAAATATTTATGAACGTCATTTTTGCCTGTGTTATTGTTCCCATTGTTGTTGTTGTTGTTATTATAATTAATTTCAGTTAAAAGTTACCTTTTTTTGTATTTTTGGTTATAAATATATTGGTCTTCGCACCAAAGTAGCTGGCAGTGTGTGGTGAGTGTACTAATAATAGAATTACATTTAAAACTTTTTTTAGATTGCTACAGATACATATTCAGATATTGACTCTGCTGCACACCCCTAATCTACAGTTCTGTAACTAATTTGTTTATTAACTTCCCATCTTTTGTAGAATTAGCTACATTTGGAGCATCTCCATCATTTTACTAGACTCATTCGACTGTAAGCCAGTTGAAATTAACTTGGGATCGTTTAGTCAGCCAATTTCCTTAGATCACAGGTCTTGATTTTTTCCCACCATAAATTAGTAATATCATATAATTGGACAGCTGAGAGCTGGTTGCAAGCTGTTCAAACAAGTGCATTATTTGTCAGTATTTGTTAAATCTTGAAAATGATCCAGACTCTGAGTCATTCTGTAAATATGTCAGATGTATCTAATAAAAACTGAATCTCATTGCATAGTCTTTTTTGAATCAGTTCACGGACAGGGAGTTATTGTGCTGATATTATTCACTCAAGCTAATAAAAAGAGGTGAGCTATTACCAAAAAAAAATGGGAAAAAGTTATTTTAATATAATGGCAAAATAAATAAAGTAATAAAATAAAATATACAAATAAATAATTAAACTAATTAATTAATTAATTAATGAAAAATAATACAAAACAATTAAACTAACCATAAATTCAGCCTATATTTCATGTAAATAATTTTGCATATTTTGCACCTAGGCAAAGTAATATTAATGAATTTAATAATATTATTTTACAGTCAATATACTGTAAAGACTATTTAGTTATCATTTATGCATAATATAATTTTTTATCATTTAGTAATTTTCCTAATCAGTATTTATCTTATTTTCTTTTCTTTTTTTTTATTAACCATCCTTAAAACAATATGTATTTACATGAAAAAATAAAATTGCGTTCATGTTTTTGAGTTGCTTTCAGATAATAAATAAAATATTATTTTTTTTCTCACCTGATTGCAAAATGGATTTTTATTGTTTTAAGCATAACTCTATCAAAAGGTTTATGGTTGAAACAAGAACTTAATTGCTTAATTCATCTTAAAATGATATTTGTATTCTAGAACTGTTTATACCCGAGCTGTATTATGCAGTCTGTTTTTTAAAAAGAAAATGGTAACAGATTTTCTTCATAGTATTGAGAATCTTTAGGGGAACAAATTAACTTCTGCTAATGTGTGAAAAAGTCTGAGAATCTCAGATGTTTTCATTGAGATTTGCAGGTGCTGATGTGTCATTAATCAAACTGGTGTTCTCGAGAGGCTGTCGGGCCACGGCTCTGACTCACGCTGGCGGTTTCTATCCTTCTTTGCATCTTTTCTTTTGTTTGCTCCTCCTGCAGTCTGTCTGTGGGCCACTTGACTTATGCAATGTCAGATTGCATAACTGCAGCATAGCGCATTTTGCCATACATTCCCAGCACAGGAATGGGCCCTTGAATAATAAAACGGCTTATCCCGTGAATTGACAGCTTCATTAAATTATTCACGCAATGCAATGAGTACAGACAGGCTCTCCGCCACCAGAGCAGAGAATTGATGCTTGTGAAATGAGAAATCCATTTTGTTTGTCTATATCGCTATGTTTTTAATGAAATCAGAGGGCTAGTCATTATGTTTACCGTTCTTTGCAGCACGGGTGGACCCGCTTCAGTTGAGCTATCTGAAACTTTGAAGCGAGAGTTTTATATTTTTAATAATTTATGCCTAAAACCAAAACCTCCATCTGATAGTTTTTATGTGAAGGGATTAAAGTAAACGCTTTTAATAATACTCATGCTTTCACTCTAAGAAAAAAATTGCTTCATTTCAAATTAAAAATGAACTTACATGTTAGTAAGTCAATACTTACTTAATTATTTGGCAATAAACGGCAAAACAATTATTATTATTATACTGTATTTTAAAACTTTAACTAACCAAAACTTTAGCCTATATGTCATGTCAATAATTTAGCTTTTTTTTTGTATTCTATAACTTCACAAGCTGAACCATGCAGTCTGTTTTTTTTATATAAAATTTTCAAACTGAGAAACAAATTAACTTCTGCTTGTGTGTGAAAAAGTCTGAGAACGTCAGATGTTTTCATTTAGATTTGTTTATATGTTAATAAGTCAATACTTACTGTTTCATGGGCAACAAATGGCAAAAAATACAATATTTTTTTCTTCTTATATTTTAATATGGCTGTACAGAAACATTTCAGTTATTAGCAATTCTTAGCAAACCACAATTCAAGTAATTAATTTACATATTTCTTTAAAATATTAGACAGTCTATTTCCAAAAATCATCTAAAGTCCTCTAAAGTCAAAATGGGCATTTTGGGGGGAATAAAACATAAGTGGTAATTTTTTCATGTTGAAAATAAAGGGAGTTTTTACTTCCTACACTTAATTTTATTTCATTTTTAACTATTGTTATGTTCATTTATTCAATCCTGCCGTACCCTATTACTGATGAAATCCCACTTACTGACAAGTTGTGCATCACCTTTCACATTATTGGCTACATTTTAATAATCAAGAGATCAGACAGTATGTCACATTATGTCTATGTCAGCAACATTTGCATGTTTGATGGAGCGAGTAAGTCGTTTCATTCAGTTACATTCAAAGAGAATGAGATTCAGGAGCATCTCATCACACTCATGTCATCGTGACTCTCTTTTTCCCCATCAGGGTTTCTGTTGGCGTAGCCGTTAAGCATGAAGTGGAATTTGCTCAAGAAGAAGCCTGCGGCCATGGTGGGCCCCGAGCCCACGGGTGCCAGTGCCCTGACCATGGCCCCTGCTGTTTCCACACCTGCAGACAACTCCACCGAGCATCAGGGCCCAGTCAGCAAGAATGATGTCTTTGGTGACATCAAAAACAAGTTCCTCAATGAGATGGATAAGCTTCCATGTGAGTATTCGACTATATGTGTGATATTGTGTGATATTTCATAATCCCTGACCAGAGACCAACATGTAACTCAAGCTCCAAACTCATCTCAGAGCTTCAGACTCTGCTGTTGTTTTTAGTGTACTAGTTATCATTCAGTTAAGCCATTAGTCGAATGATCACTTTTATATTAAAAAAGCTATGAATGTGTTAAAAAATAGCAAGGAGATATTTAAATGATTTATTAATAAACTAGTGTTTTCTGAGTCTGTGTCAGCTGCAGAGATGAAGTTGACGATGCTGACTGACTCGCCATTTCCACAGTACAGTGACATGCATTCAGAGAGAAATGCACCTTTCATACAGATTACATAACCAGACAGTATTTATTTTCGATTTCAATTGGTTCATTTAAAAGTAGACATTTCAAGATTTCTACAGATATATTTCTCATGTCTGTGAGGTAAATAGTCTATCAGCTGAGTTTCGGTTCATTTTTGTGCTGCGCTCCAGTTCATGGAGACCGAGACGGCAGAAAGCGCGTCCGGTTTGTTTTCTTTATTTTACAAAAGCACAACGTTTTCTTGATATTGTGAGTTTACACAAATAAAAGTAGAGCCGCCTTCGAATGATGTATTACTCGTATCTGCATGAGCAAAAATTACGGCGTATTTTAAGTTGTTTCCACTGAATTTTAGGAAAACATGCCAGCAATCGCGCCGGCACCTCCATGTCTTGCAGTAACGCGCTAACAGCTTCCACACTCCACACAAACACTTGGATACGTGCCTCACAGCGCACATTTATCTAGGTTAACGTTAGAGCCAGCGGCCATATAAAGTGGCTACTGCATGTTTCAATTTCAAATGATAAGCCAGATATAAGGTTGATAAATGATAGGCAATGAATTTTATACTGTGGGCTAATTTCCAGGGGCGTCTTTTAGTGGGGCTTCAGCTTCGGCTCCTCCCCATCTTTAAGTGTTCTCTGATAGCACACGTACATCACGGAGACGTCTATTTGACTTCTGTAATACATCTACTGTATAGGACGTTTCCTATCAGATGTCAAATAGATATTTAGAAGATGTCTTTAAGATGTTTATTATTTAGAATGTATGTAAAATTGATGTCTTAAAGATATCTATCAGATGTTTGAACACAGCAGATGCTTTCCAGATGAAGCGATCTTTAACAGACATCTTGCAGACGTACTTGTACTATCTGGGTTATTCAGCATGTTCTTCAGTCAGCAGCAGCACAGCGATAGCATAGGAAGCAGAGGACAAGGTGTGTGCATTTATCGACTGATTATGATTATTCTTTGTCATAAATGCAGTTTACATAATGTGCTGCGGGAGCAATACAAAAGCGGTTCTACATCCACTGTAAAGTTTTTGCTGCGTTCACCCTTTATCACTCCAACATTGTTTTCCTCCAGCGAATATGGAACATGAAGACAAACTTATTTTGAAAATGTACATTTTAAATTAAAGCGTATTTTGTGGATGTGATTAGATTAGATTAACATCATACACAGAAATTATTAGAGACTGTAAGGTCTGTTTTGGGTTTTGTTTCATGTTCTGGTTTTCATGTCTTTTATTTTGTAATTTCATTCATGATGTTAGTGTCAAGCTTCCCTTGCCCTCTTTTGTATTCCTGCTATTGGTTCCTCTGTTCAATGTGTAAAGTTCTGATTGATTGTCCTAGTCATGTGTCTTGTTCCTCATGGGTTATTGTCCTGTCATGTGCTTCTCAGTTCTGTTTGCTCATTGGCTGATTATTGTCATGTGACCCTTAGTGTTTGCTATAATTAGCCCTCTTATTGCCATTGTCTCTTGTCGTGTATTGATGTTGTAACCTGCTGTTGGTGAGTTGTAGGGATGGGGAAATGAAGCTTTGCGAAGCACCAAGGCTTTCCCCTCAACTGTATCTTAAAAAGGTTAATTACTCAAAGTTTTTCAAGACGGTGCACACTAATGACATCTTGAGGTCAAAAGGTGAAAAAAGCTGCCTTTGTGTCCCAGATGACCCAGCCATTTTTTAACTGTTTTAGATAATAAATTAGTTTGGGCTATGAAAACCTGTATAAAGGAAAGAAAATATGAAGTCTATATAAATAAGTCTTCATGTCAGTCAGTGTATTACACAATATTAATAAATGAGTATGTGAATAAATTTGTGGAAAAAATAGGCAAAGCTGTATGATCAAAATAACGGAAGATTATCATAGAAGATTGGTTAGTTAAAGTATCTGTGAACCAGGAATTAATACAAAATGATCATGCAGAAAACTACACATGCAAATATTTATTCGTATTATGATTTATTAATTTCAAAGACGTGAGGGACACTTGAAACTGCGCAAGTGGTTCGTGTTATTTGAATCAGAATACGAAGCAGTCACTTGGTTGTGTGCGAAAACGAAGCTTCGGACGTCACAGATCACGTGGTTTTGGCAAAACCAATCAAGCTCCGGTACAGTGCTTCACTGTGAGAAGCTTCAAAGCCTCGGTGTCGAACGTCACATCACTAGTGAGTTGTGTTTCTGTTCACGGTCAAGTCTGTTCATGCCAAGTCCGTTCATGGCATGGCATGTCATGTCAAGTTTGTTTCAAGTCAAGTCAAGTCTTTGTTTATTGTAACTTGTCAGTGAACTACGGCTATGTGTAGTAAATTCTGCTCCATCAGAAGCCACGGGATGATGATTTCCTGCTAATTACAGAACCGGCATTACTAACAAAATGCGCATGACAATCGCATTTGATTAATCGTGCAGCCCTAATTCCTGCTATTGGTTCCTCTGTGCAATGTGTCAAGTTCTGATTGGTTGTCCTAGTCATGTGTTTTGTTCCTCATGGGTTATTGTCCTGTCATGTGGTTCTCAGTTCTATTTGCTCATTGGTTGATTCTTGTCATGTGACCCTTAATGTGTTTGCTATAATTAGCCCTCTTGTTGCCATTGTCTCATGTCGTTCATTGATGTTGTAACCTGCTGTTGCTGAGTTGTATTTCTGTTCACGGTCAAGTCTGTTCATGCCAAGTCCGTTCATGCCATGTCATGTCAAGTTTGTTTCAAGTCAAGTCAAGTCTATGTTTATTGTTTGGATTCTGGATTTCACATTGTAAATAAACTGCACTTGGGTTCATCTACTACGCGCCTCCAGTGGACTTGTTACAGAGACACACTGTAAAAATTATTTGTTGGTTTAACTCAAGTAGCCTAACCTGTTTGCTTTAAAATGTTGAGTTCATTTAAACTAAAGAACTGAGTTGATACAAAGAGATCAGATTATTGAATAGAAACTCTAAATATTATTTTAACTGAACAACATTTGAGAATCTAAGCTGGTTTGACGAAAGATTTGTGAAAAGTTATAACAAATCATGAAAATATTTTTCCCAGTGCAGTGACAGAGAGCACTCAGTCAATGCATTCATTTAAACTGCTTATCAGAGTGAATGACAGAGACAGACACACATCAATTATTTTGTTCTAAATAATGACCCGCCAGATGATTGTGACATTTATAGCCTTAGAGTAAAGGGATTTGTGGTTCCCCTTCAGGAACTCGAACTGCATCGAGTCGCTTTGGGAACGCCCTTGCGTGACCACGTTCTGAAGCATGTGTCAAATCCATCCAATGGAGCAGCGAGATGTCACGAGCAGGGTGACGTAAGCACCAGAAAGCATAAAAGCGCATCCGGCCGGGCGCCACCCAGCTTCTGCTCTTCAGTAGCGCTCTGTGTATGTGTCTGTCTATTTACTGTTGTCTGTCCGCACAAGCACTCATATATATAAAACAATGAGAAAGTCTATGGCGAGCGAACGGCATTACAAACGCTGTGTTTCGCCCTGCCCATGATATCTGGCGGCGGGGGATACACACGATTTGTGTGTCGTTTGTTTAGGAGCGAAGCATGCACGGTCAGCTTTCGAGCAGCTGATTGTCATCACTGCGAGCTCTCGCTGCGCACGCTCCGCTCTCGCCTGGCTGTGTTTGATGAGAGAGGCCAGGCTTGCGATCCCGCTGGCAGTGGTCCCGCTGTTGCCGAGGCACAG